GCCGTGACCGGTGGACCAATGATGCTTACGTCGCTACCATTGCATTGGAGCACAATATGCGCCTCTCCGTCGCCTTTCTTTCCTTCTCCATTCGCGACTCTTACTGCATCATGTGAGGTGGTATGGATTGCTCTGAATCTGTTCTAAAAAGCGCATTTTCGTGAACATACCTGGAATGTATACCAGGACACCTTTATTCCCTCCATACACATATGTCAGCGAAAGTGGGAGTAAACAAAATAGGTGCAATTTAAGAAAATATTTGATACTTCAGAATTGTTCTGTCCCGGAATGAACAAAATATTTGATATGACATCTACATCTAATAGATTTCAAGCGAAAAGGGATGGTGCCATGTGTAGCTAGACCGAAAGGAGGGCAGATCCAATAATATTCTTATAATCGCGTTCGCTACTTCATCCTGCATCAGAATTTTGCGGTCTAGCAACTGGGAAGCTCAGGGTGGCGAAATATTAGGTGCGCCATAATTCCTCAACTTTCACAAGAATGCTTGGTTGTGAACAAAAGTTTTGCCCCAGACGAGACTCGAACCCGCACGTCTTGCTTACCGCATAAGTGCTCTACAAGTTACACTACCAAGACATGAGTTCATCCCTACTCAGCGAAAAATTTATTTGATGAAACAGTAAGTCATAGCATCCTTAAATTACGAATTCCAAGTGCCCGCCTAAAGGTGCACCGACTGCTTCTTCATTGGATCGAGCGGGTGTCGCCGCAATTTTTAGTGAATTTTTTGGCGATAGCACCAAATTTTTAGCGTTATTATGTGCGTTGCTATTCCATATTTTTTCTTCCGCAACACCCCCCCCCCCCCGCTCAAGTCCCCTCCACAAATACGCATAAATGCCTCATAAAGTTTGAAAATAAATAAAATGTCATGCACACGTCATTTTACGCAACCCTGTAGATATTCTCAAGGTCCCAAATAGGGAGTTGTTGTGATATAAATAAACTGTATCAGGTTATGGCTCAAAGTTAGATTATGCTAGGATATTTTTATTAGACTTAAGTCCATAACTGAGCCAATGGTCAAGCTCAGGCTTGGGCTTATGCTTGAACCCATAGATAAGCTTACCTAGCTTTATTAGAAACAGTAGAATCAATGTAGACGTACGCTTGGGCTCATGCTCAGGCTTACAATCGAGCTTGGACTTAGGCTTAGGCCTAAGCTTATAATTTGGCTCAGATCTGGAGTTAGGCTTAGGCGTAGGTTTGTACTTGAATTTATAGTTAGGCTTAGGCTTGGGTCTGAGACCTGTAGATTACAGATGTGCTAGTGTTGATGATGTTTAGTTTTGAAATTTGACGCATTTTCTTGCTTATTGCGCATCCCTTGTTGTTCGATTGGCTGATTTATGACGCATAATGATTCTGACTTTATTAATTCATTTATTCATTCCATTCATTCATTCCTCATCGTTTTATGCTGCACGATTTTGGAATGATTTTCAACTCGTGATCATTGGCCGCATAACTCTTATTTGACCATTAGTAGCTCCAATCGTCACATCGTGTGTTCAGTTCTCTCTCTTTCAGAAAGAGTTGGTCAAAACTCGCTATGAGCTGATAACGTTGAAAAAAGGCTGATAAAGTTGAAAAAAGAAGTATGAAATGGTGCGTCCGTAAAAAAACCAGCCCAGTAGTCAGAAACCCTAGAGACAGCTAACGCTTCTCTCCCGTTTATTTCAAATCTGGACGAGTTGACCACGGGTCTTGACACTTCGCCGACCGTTGCAACAATTTGGCATTTGTCTCATATTATTATTAGTTGTTTCGTGTGCCACTGTTACGATAATATGCTCTAGTACTGTGCACGAATTATCCATGCGCGAAAGCGATGGCTGAAATTAGGAAGATTTCCTCTTGATATCTAGCTTTCCCGAAGTGAATAACATGCCAGGCATCCGGTGTACGGTATCAGTGGGTATTTTTGCGCCTTACCCACTCGTTGATGTGG